AAGGAAAGAGAAAAAACACAAATTATCAATATCAGTGGATATCACCACAGATCCTACAGACATTAAAAGGATAATAAGGGGGGCTTCCCTGGTGGTGCAGTGGTTAAGAATCCACCTGCCAATGCAGGGGACACAGGTTCGAGCCCCGGTCCGGGAAGATCCCACATGCCTCGGAGCAACTAAGCCTGTGTGCCACAACTACTGAGCCTGTGATCTAGAGCCCACGAGCCACAACTGCTGAGCCCATGTGCCACAACTACTGAGCCTGCGTGCCTAGAGCCCGTGCTCGGCAACAACGGAAGCCACCACAATGAGAAGTCCGCGCACTGCAACGAATAGTAGCCGCTGCTCACCGCAGCTAGGGAAAGCCCACGCACAGCAACAAAGATCCAGCGCAGCCAAAAATAAATAAATAAAAATTTTTAAAAAGGATAATAAGGGAATATTATAAGTGACTTTATGCCAGTAAATTCAGTATGAATGGATATTCCTTGAAAGACACGATATAATAAGACTGACTCAGGAGGAAATAGAAAATCTAATGAGCCCCATACCTAAAACCTCACAAAGAAAACTTCAGGCCAAGATGAAGTCTTGTCATATATTTAAAGAAGAAATAACACCAATCTTGCACAACGCTAATTTTATGAAACAGGTCGGTCAGGCTCTGTTTGGGGCAGGGCTGTGTTTGAGAGCCCCTGAAGTCCTGCCTCAGAGGCCCCTTCCTCCTGTGGGCTCTGAGGGAGGTGAGAGCAGGGGCAGGGCCTAGGTGTGGAAACCTGGGCCAGGGTCAGAAATGTGGGGTACCTCCAGTAACAGGCAGGCGGGCTGTGGGGAGGACCCCAGTCCAGGCCTTGGCTTTCCTGCCCTCCAGCCACCAGTGTTCTAAGAATTTGGCTCTTCTGGAGTTGGTGGAGAGAGTGGTAGTTAAGTTAGCACAGAGTTAATGAAGGTGATGTAGTCCAGGCTCATGGCTACGCCTACAAGAGCTCTAGGAGACGTCCCTACACTGAGAGGGACTTGGAAGGGACACAGAGGCCTGATGATGAGTAGGAATGACAACAGGCCTGTGTCTTGGGCCCAGAGGAGTGACAGAGCCTGTTGCCTGGGAACCTCAGAAGGCTGCCTTGAGGAGGTAGCCTTTGAGCTGGAGTCCAGAACTGGCCAGAGGGTGGGCTTTGTTCGGGGTAGTCAGAACGGACAGATCAGGATTTGGGACAGAGGGTCTGGTGTCAGGGTATTCTGGACAAGGCCAGTATGGATGGGCTACAGGGAGAGTGCTGAGGCCTTGGGGGGGCTGCACCTTGAGGAGAATGCTGTTCCTGAGGGTATGGGGACCAATGAGAGCTTTGAGCAGAGGACACCCTCCGTCCATGTGGATGGATAAGGTGGAGAGAGATGTAGGGGAGATGGATTAGAAAGAGGAGGAGGAGGGTGCAGCAGGCTGCTGTGTTCTCCAGAGTGTAGTGGGTAGCTGGCGGCAGGCAAGGGTCGGGGGAATAGCTGTGGGCTTGGCTGTGGTGGGGACCTCTCGGGGTGGGACAGAACATGGGGTTGGAAGGAGGGAGAAAGGCGGGAGATTGGGGAAGGGTGTGTGTAGGCGGGGCTAGGCAGCGAGTTACATTTAAGGGTCTGGGGGTGGGTGAGATGTCTCTAGACTCCCTGGGATGCTGTGTTCCTCGGGCCCTGCCTGCACTCCCATGGGTGTCCTCCAGGGCTTAGACCTAGGCCCAGGCTGGCTGTGACTGGTCTGAATGCACGTGGCCAAATCTGAACTGTGAGGGGAGCATGGGAGAGGTGACTGGGTTCAGAGCTGGTTTTAGAAACTAAGTGCGTCTCCCGTTTCCTTGGCAAAAATGCAAGAGTTCAGGAGGACCTTGATCCAGAACCCTAGCTACCACTGACAGATTCTGTGACCTTGGGACAATCTTTCCTTTCCGTGGCGGTCATTTGCCAGCTTCCCCCATGGGTTGATTTGAGGACTCGGAAGGCGGTGGTCCTGTGAGCCCTCCAGTTCTGAGGGCCTTCGAGTCTCCTAGGCTGGGTGGGCCGTGAAACTGGTCAGTGCCTCCTACCACTGTCCCAAGCAGTGCAAGTCCTGCCTTGTGACCTAGGCCAGGGTTGCCCCAAAGCCATTTCCCTGCTCAGAGATGCTCACTGTGCTACCTGAGTTGCCTTTGAGTGGGCCGACTGGAGCGCGCCTTGTCCCTGCACTTATGTGGCCTGTTCATTTGTTCACCGGCTCTGGCTCCACGCACATATGGGTACCATTCTTGAGCCCCTGCTCTTGCACAGCATCCCAGGCTGGGGTCTTCCTTAACCTCAGCAGTCTGCACGGCCCACCAGACTGCGGGGCATGTTTTTAAAATGTCATTTAGATCATTGGGTGTTTTCTCATTTATTAATGAATAACTTGGCCTTTGCCGAGACACTTGAGTGTCTCTGGGACCCCAGGAGGGCGGTGGCAGCTGTGCCACTGAGTTTGCCCTTGCTCAGGGGCTGTGAACGTGCATGGTGTTTGCAAAAGAGTTGCTCCCAAAGGCTGTTTCCACAGTCCCCACCCTCTGCCTCCAGCTGGCCCAGGTTAACTGGGCCCTCACGGAAAGAAGCCTTCCTGTGGGCTTGCCCATCAGCCCACTTCAGGGGAAAGCTGAGCCTTTGCTGCTCTTCCACCTCTGTCCTTTCTCACCAAGGGGAGGTGTCTGCCACCTCCTTCCCCTACTGCAGGACCTCTGGCCATCAGGGAGTCCACTGGCTGGCAATTAGGAAGGAGCTTTTAGTTCCTATGTCCTGGCTTCTGGCTTAACGTAATCACTAGCATTTGTCAGGGAGGGGTACATGCAGCCTGGGAGCCATGTGGGGAGCCTTAACTTGTTTCTCAGTTGAGAGTTTGTACGCCTGCTCACCTTACTTCTTTGGCCATCACCAAACAATTGCTTCTGCCCCAGGGCCTCCCTGCCCAGCCTGTCAGCAGGCTCTTGGGAAAGGCCTCTGGTCCTTCCTCCAGCAGCTCTGCTCCCGTTGCCCTAGAACACTGGCCGGAGCCCTCTGTGATCAGCCCCACCCCTTGACAGCCTTACCTGCATTCACCTGCGCCCTGACTGCCGCTCCAACCACCTGTGTGTTCTCAGACCACACCCCGCCTTTGCTCAAGCTTGCTCCCCTCTGGGAGTGCCCTTCCTGCTCCTGTCTCCCCATCCTGTAACACCCAAGTTCTGCCCACCCCTTAGTAGGAAGGTAGGAAGCCCCCTACCCACCCCACAGACCCATGTTGACCTCACTCATGTAGCTGTTGTCGTTCCTGCTGCCTCATCCCCAGGAGACTGAGCCGCCCTGGGTTGAGAGAGCCAGGGGAACATCTTGCTCTATTCACATCACAGAAACCTTTCTCTGGTCCAGGACTCCGAGCCTGGTTTGGGTGGTCTCCTTGCCCATAGGTGTGTGGCCAACGAATGGCGCAGTCTGGTGGTTTCCAGGGTCTCCACGATGAACACTGGCAGGAAGTGACTCATAATGCAAACGCCACTCTCGGGGAGGCCGTTGTCAGTGACATAAACAAATCTCTAGGAGAGGTGGTACAAGGAGCTATTTTACTTATAATTTATGTTCTTTTCTCCATTGCAGCAGGTCCCCCATGGCAGGGGCTTCCACATGTCTCCTCGGAACATGCTCCAGCAAGTCAAAGGCAGGTCATGGCCAGTTATCAGGGGCACATTGATCCCCTCTGGAGGGCCAGCCCTGGCACGCAGGGAGAAGCCGGGCAGGGCTCTGTCCCAGATTTTCTCAGGACAGACACTGGGGGTTTGGGCGCATGCGAGAGCACACCCAGTGCACACCCTCCGTGTTGGTTTGTCTGCAGGCAGGTCTGATCCAACTGCAGTGGTCACATGGTAAGGAAGGAAGCCCAGGAAGGTGTTTCCTGCTGCAGGTGGAGGCAGCGTGGGGGTGTCCTTCTGCCGGGCCCTCGGCGCACCTGAGAGCAAGCGTACTCTGTCAGGGTTGAGATGAACATGGCTTCTCTAGACTCACAAAGAGGTGGGGAACGGGGGAAGAGGAAGATAACCAGACTTAGAAATTTTTCCCATGGAAACTTCAAACTAATTCCCCCTCCCTCCGTCCCCCTGAATACATTGCAGGAGTGAACCTGTTACAAGCCTGGTCCTAATTTGAGTTATGCTGCTCCTAAAGGGAACCAAATAGGTGTTTCTGGAGAGGCCCTGGCCTGGAAGGCAGTGGGTGGCGGTCAGGAGACCCGAGCTTTTGTGCTGCTCTGGTCGCTGGTGATTGCTCTTTGCCCCATGTCTCCCGACGTATGAGGGTGGCTGGTGGCCTGCCAGCGTGGGCCCTCGGCGGCACTGACCAGCATCACCTCTCACCACCTAAGACCTTCCAGCTCTTCCTGCTAGTGTTCTCTGAGGGCCACTCTGGTCTGGGCCTGGGCTGGGATCATGGTTTTGTTTTGTTTTGTTTTGTTTAATTTATTTAGTTTATTTATTTTTGGCTGCATTGGGTCTTCGTTGCTGTGCCTGGGCTTTCCCTAGCTGCAGCAAGTGGGGGCTACTCTTCGTTGCTGTGAGCGGGCTTCACGTTGCGGTGGTTTCTCTTGTTGCAGAGCATGGGCTCTAGGCACGTGGGCTCAGTAGTTGTGGTGCGTAGGCTTCAGCAGTTGTGGTTCGTGGGCTCAGTAGTTGTGGCGCACAGGCTTAGTTGCTCCGCGGCATGTGGGGTCTTCCCGGACCAGGGCTTGAACCCGTGTCCCTTGCATTGGCAGGCGGATTCTTAACCACTGCACCACCGGGGAAGCCCAGGGTCATGGGTTTTAAATTCTGCTGAGGGAGTTGAGGGGTGGGAATTGTGGCTCCAGCATTGTGCCCCGTCGGTTGCAGCAGGCATGTGCCCCGCTTGGAGGCTGGAATGCCAAGCTGGTCCTGGCCAGGCTGTGTAGCTCCTGGAAGGAGGAGTGTTCATTTGAGCAGCTGGTTTTCTCCCTTCCTTTGCAGGACAAGGAAGATGGGGAGCCAAAGACCAAGCAGCTCAGAGAAGGGGAGGAGGAAGGCGAGAAGCACAGGTAATGCCTCACACGCAGCTCTCTGCCCTGCGCCCTCCTCCAGGACCTGCTGGCTTCCACATCCTCCCAATTCTGCCTTCAGTCTCTACCCCATTGCTCCCTCTCCACCCCATGGCTGCCTTGTGCAGACAGGACAGTCTTACAGTTGGAGCCTTCTCTGCACCCTTTCCGCCACTGGCTATCTGACTCTTAGCCACCAGCCTTTTACTCCAGACCCTCATATTATGTCCCCTCACTCTTCTCCTAAAACACTTTGGGTGACATGGTTCTACAGCACCTGCAGAATCAGGTCCACACTCTCCGTGGTGTGTGAAGCTCTGTCTGAGCCAGCAGCCTGGGCGCCTGCTCACTTGGGGGGAGTAGATCTTGATGCCCTGAGCAAGCTTATCTCGGTGGGCTGTGCTTTGAGGGGGTGCAGCAGGTGGGGAGGGGTGCTCCCCAGAGGAAGCTGGACCAGCACTCGGAAGCAGGCCTTCCAGATGCCACAGCCTGCTGTTTCCTTCACCAGTGTGAGTGGAACCCTCCCCAGGTGCAGGCCCCTCATCCCTGCCTTCTTATTCAGGAGCTGATCTCAGACGAGATGGGGCTTTTTCAAGTCCACAGGGGAGCACGTGTGTCTGTGCATGTGTGACATAGCACTTTACAAAGTGTGTTCACGCTTTCCTCACAGCAGCCCTGCAGGGTCCTTGCCATCTCCCTTGTTATCACAGAAGGCGACAGCTCTGTGCTGAGAGGCTGGTGATGCTCAGTGGTGGTGCAGGGACCCTTGTCACCCTAGCACTGGGCTCTGGGGTGTCTTGTTGGACCTTGGCCCCCCCCAGCACAGCACGCGGCCCTCTCTGGTGACAGAGACGAAGGCCAGGTCATTGCTCTTTTGCCAAGTGACTACAGACTTGGGGGCTTGGGGGTGGGTGCCTGCACAATTTCCCCCATTCTGTGGTAACTGCTGAGAGACCCTTTGGTTTTCTTCTGGTTTGTTCTTAGGTTTTTGATTACTGGCTGGAGCCTTGAGTCATTCTGCAGATTCAGTTTTCTAACCAGATACAGTGCGGGGCCAGGGGTTGTGGCTGAGGAAATGGGAAAATACAGCAGGATTGGAGGCAGGCACCCCAGGACCTCACCCGTCACCAGCCATGCTGGAGAATCACCCACCTTCCTCTCTGCCCATGCTCCTACCCATCTGTCCAAGCTGACCTTTTTAGAATCGTGGCTGTTTTAGTTCCTTTGGCTTTCCTTATAGATTTTAGAATCAGCTTGTTAATATCTATTTTTAAAGCTTGCTGAAGGTGACTGAGAGTAAAGAGTGACAGAGGAGGACAATGATGTGTTGTGGAAACCAGGAGAGGAAGGGGGCTTGGCTTTCTGGAGACGGTGCCGCTCCCTTCATCCTAACCCATTCCTTAGTGGCCCTGTGCATGGGTATTTCAAGGAGTGTGGAAAGGATGGACTGTCTCACGTCAGGTCCTCTTAAAATTTCAGAACGTAGGCATCATTCAAGTGTACGTGTTTGTATTGTTGCCTACTTATTAAAAATAAACTAATACAAAAAAGGATAAAATAAAAAATAAATAAATAAAAAGTTTGCTAGAGTTTTGATTGGTATTGCATGGAATCTATAGATCAGAATACCTTTAAACATTTTTTTTATTACTCTCTTCAGGATAAATCCTACCGCATTCCCCTACAACCAAATCCCCATTGAGTGGGAGTCAGTCCCCCGAAGGTCAACTAGCATAGGCCAGGCTCTATGGGAAGGAAAGATGAGTTCCCACCTCCAAAAGGACCCCTGCTTCTCCTCTGGGCTGGATCTGCCCTCTCCCAGCCAACCTTCCCTCATGGTTAACTGCACGGGCGCCCATGACTCACCTCTAACACAGCCCCCTCCTTGCCTCCTAGGTAAGATGTGATATGGCAGCCCTGGAAACCTGGCCACAAAAAGGGGCATTTATGTCAGTTGCTGTTGTTTTTTGTAAGCCCTCAGTCACTTCCTCCTGATGGCAAGTTGGCTGGTGTATGCCGTGGAGGTATGTCTAGGGGAGGGTTTGTGGCTAACAGTCGTGGTCACCCTACTAGGTGGGAGGAGAGGGCCGGTGTTGCACACTCGGTTGGGCATGGAGCGGGGGAGCATGTCTTAAGTGTCTGAACAAGCAAGCCCCAAACCCTCAGCTCCCACAGCCGTCACCTCCCTTTGGCTTAGGATTGAGGTCTGCACCCAGCCAGAGCTGTCACCATTCAGGGGCACCCTGGGTGAGTGTCACGTACTGGAGAAGGAACTAGGCCACGAACCTTCCTTCCTTGGGGATGGAAAACCGGTTCTCCAACTCCATATGGAGAAAGGTCCCACCCCAGCTGAGGCCCGGCCCAGCCTTGTCCCAGTGCCCAAGCCCTTTAGGCTGGCAAATGCCAGGCCTTCTCTCATCTGCCGGTTGGTTCCCCAGGATGGTGGCTTTGCACCAGGGCGTGCTCGCAGACCCATGACGTCAGCTTGATTCGGCAGATATTGCTGTGCTCTCGCGGTGATGCTCAGAGCGGCCCCTGCCCCCACTTGCTGAGTTACCTCACTCCCGCTCCAGGCCGGAATGTCCTGGCCCTGGATAGAGGGGCTGGACTGTGGCTCCGTGACTCGTGCTGAGGCAGCAGCACAGAGACCTGCGGCCGCCCTGTTTTTCCTGATCCTGTTGCTCGGGACTAGGCGCAGGAATGTGGAAGAGTGAATCAAGAGAGAACTGGTATAAGGGATGTGGTGTCGTGGGAAGCCGACTCTGTGTGACCGGGCCAGGTGCTTCCCTTCGTGT